CTGCGAAGGACTGCAGGGTGTGGACGAGGAGGAGAGCTTGCAGGAGAAGGGGGGAGGGGAGGAGCATGGGGAGAAGCTGGAGGAAGAGGAGGGGTGGCTGCGGAAGAGCCGTGGAAGAGGAGGGGGGGCTGTGGAATAGGAGAAGTCGGAGGAGGAGTAGTTGTGGAAGAGGAGGGGGAGGAGACTGGGGAGGAGAAGTTGGAGGAGTGGCGCCGCTCGGCCTGTCGGGGAAAGAATCTGACAAGCCGGGTGCGCTCGCGCCAGTTATGATATCCGAGCCCTCCCACCCATCACTTCCCATCGCGCTGTCTTTTTCGCTAGCCTCCGTCGCGTGCCATAGCGGACACGGCGTTCCAAAACAGACCCCATCATGTCATGCGCAACCTGAGAAGGGGAGCTGCGCAGCTTGGAGGATGACGTGGCGGATGAGCAGGAGGATGCGCAGGAGGAAGAAGAGGAGGACTAGTAAGGAGGAGGGCGAAGAAGGTACAGCAGCAGCAGGAGCTGGAGTGGGAGAAGCGGGAGACGCAGGATGACCAGGGGAAGGTGGGGGAGGGGAAAGGAGCGAGGCGACAGCGACGAGGAATCACTCGGACTCAGAAAAGTGGCCCGCGCTGGGGCGCGAGAGCCAGTCTGAACGATGGGAGCAAAGCGCCGATCCTAAAATGAGGCCTGCGCTGCATCGGCAGCACCATTGTGAGATTCCGAAACAGTTCCGATTGAAACAACAGAGGAAGTATCAAGACACGACATCCTGCGCACGCAAACAGCACGCGGGGTGGTGCGGGCGACTCCCTGGCCATCATCCAGGGAGAGAGGAGCGTAGGTAGTATTCATATGGAGTATGCGCAAGTGTAAGAACGAGGGTTAATATGCTGATGGTGGTGGTGACGGCGACGGTGACGATGGTGGTGATGGTGCTGGCGATGATGATGACGAGGGGGATGAGGAGGATGATAACGAGGGTGTGGAGGAGGAAGAGGAGGAGGAGGAGGAGGAGGAGGAGGAGGAGGAGGAGGAGGAGGAGGAGGAGTGGGAGGAGAAGGCAGGAGGAATGAAACATGGAGGATGGAGGGATGAGTTCTTGCGCCCTTCTGGTAGACTGAGAAGGGGGATCATGAGGTGGATGGGGAGGATCAGTGTAAACCCAAGACGCCTCAACGATGTTGCAATACACCTTCCCTCCAACTTCACTCTTCATATGTCACTGCAGCTAGTTTCTTCCATTGCGGGCCCCCATGAGAAAACAATTGTTTAAGACGCCTCAGCCGTGCCAAGGCACAACGCCTGGGACTCCAGCGCCGCAAATCAACGTGGCTGTTGCGCCCTGGCCAGTTTAAATCATGCCAGGACGCCGTTCTTGGTACCTCAACACCGCGAATCAACACGGCTGGTGCGTGCTGACTCCTAAATCGTACCAGAACGCCGTTCCTGGGTCTGCAGCCGTACGAATTCTTGAAGCTGTTGCACAGTTTGAGACGAATGTGCGTGGCGCTAAGGCGAGAGTCGCATGTTGAAAACCACCCCCCCTCCATCCTTGAAGCTGGTGCAAGCTTTCACGACGAATGTTCGTGACGCTAAGGCGAGAGTCACATTTTCAACACCCGCCCTCCATCCTTGAAGCTGCTAGACACTTTTAAATGAATGTGCGTGGCGCTAAGGCGAGAGTCGCATGTTGAAAACCACCCGCCCTCCATCCTTGAAGCTGGTGCAAGCTTTCACGACGAATGTGCGTGACGCTAAGGCGAGAGTCACATTTTCAACACCCGCCCTCCATCCTTGAAGCTGCTAGACACTTTTAAATGAATGTGCGCGACGCTAATGCGAGAGCCACATTTTTTAAAAGGGACCCGCCCTCCATCTTCTAAGCTGTTGCAAACTTACGACGGATGAGCATGTTTGAACCTGCTCGCCCTCCATCCTTGAAGCTGTTGCAAAACTTGAAGGCGAACATGCGTGGCGCTAAGGCGAGAGTCGCATGTTGAAAACCACCCGTCCTCCATCCGTGAAGAAACTTGTCAGACGAGTATGCGCGGCACTAAGGCGAAAACACATTTTGGAAATGACCCGCCCTACATCCGTGACGCTGCTGCCAATTCCAGGCTTCAGGGTCATCAGTGGTGAGGAAGAGGAAGTCTCTGGCCCGCCCTAATGACACGTCTGGGGGTGCGACAGGGATGAGCTACTCGTCAGAAAAAAAAGGGATGGAGGAGGAGGAGGAGCAGGAGGAGGAGGAGGAGGAGGAGGAGGAGGAGGAGGAGAGGAACAGTAGGAGGAGGAGGAGGGAGGAGGAGGAGGAGGAGGAGGAGGAGGAGGAGGAGGAGGTGGAGGAGCAGGAGGAGGAGGAGGAGGAAGAGGAGGAGCAGGAGGGGCATGAGGAGGATGGATGGAGGTACTCAAGACTTAGGGCTCAGAAGTCCGCGAAAGGCTCCAGAAGGGAGCCTCTGCTGGGGGTCGTGCAACACGCAATGCCGCTTCCAGACCGAGGGAGGAGGGGGCAGAGGAGGTGGAAGGAGCATGATGGTGGAGGGACGAGGAGGAGAGGAGAACGAGGAAGATAGAGAAGGGGAGCAGTATGAGGATGAGGCTCAGGGCCACGCCGGGGGCTTCTCTGTGGGGTGCTAGATGGCCTGCGGACTTCGACATGATACAGAGCGGGTCCAAGGACCCGCGCTGCAGGGTGGGGCCACCCCTAGGCCGAGGGCTGGCGGGGATGGCCTCCTCCTCCTCGTTCCCCTCCTCCTGCTCCTCCTCCTGCTCCTCCCTCCCCCTCCTGCTCCTCCTCCTCCTGCTCCTCCTCCTCCTCCTCCTCCTCGTTTTTTTGTTGTTGTTTCTCTCTGTCTCTCTCTCTCTCTCTCTCCCCATTATTTTCCTCAGTCTTGCCATTCGTCCTTCAATGTCTTCCTCCCCCCCGTTCCTTCGATGCTGGCACAGGGCGAGCTCCCCACGCTGCCACGAAGCACTGTCGACGCCGAGGGCCAGGGCACGCCAGCTCAGGCCACCGAAGTAGCGCGCCGCGCCGTGGTCTACGAATTATGCCGCTTCCTCCTCCTTTTCCTCCTCTTCTTTCTCCTCTTCCTCATCCGCATCCTGCTAGTCCTCCTGCCCCCCATCCGTTCCGTTGTGGTTTTGGTGGAAACCGTCTCTGTCGCTTCTTGGCTCGGGCGGTGCCTCGTCGCAGGACGTCGCGTATCGTCCCAGGCGAATCGGGCCTCCGCCCTCAGTCTTTGGGGAGCGTGCGCGTAGGATGGAATGGGCTGAGCGAATCGCTGATCGTGTGATCACTCGGTTGTCTGGCGAGCTCTAAGCTTCTTCGCTCGCGACCATCGCGCCCGGCTCATGGGTGTGCTGGGGGCTGTCTCACGACTTCATGCGACGCTGAATCGGACCGCGTGGTTGCGCGGGTGACTGCCGTGCCGAGCCTCTTGCGACCCCATGTGTGCTCCGATCGGCACGGATGTGGGTCGTCGTTGTGACGCGGTGCTGCGCGCAGCTGCGCGCGGTTGCTCTGTGGTCAGCGCCGTGTCGCGCGCGACACATCGGCTCAGCAAGAGGAGGTGCTGCTCGAGACGACGGAGATGAGCGGTGCGCGTGCGCGTCACATGGTGCCAGCGATGTATCCTGGTTATTTTGCGCGTACTTGCCCGTCTCGCGTTGACTCCCATTGCCAAGAAAGGGCTAAAAGTATTGCTCCAGACTTGGACCAGAAGAGGGATGGGATAGAACGGGTTGATGGGAGAGGGCGAGGGCCAGAGGCGAAGGCGTTCTTGGCACACGTCGCCCATCCCATGCAGACACAACTGGCGATTCGATCGGGCGTCACTTGGCTTTGGGGGCTCCACCTCAGAGCCAGGGAACATGATTCCGCTGACCGTGTAGCCAAGCTCGGGCTCAGACTATACCCAAGCCCTCCCCGCAGCGAGCGTGATCTTTGAGCCTGGCAGATTCGAGCTTGCAAAGCGGTGATCAAGCTAGGAGCATGGCTCCTGCCAGTTTGGCCTCGCCTTGACCTGTCGGCTGTTGAATTAGCGAAGGCTCCTAAGCTTGCCAGAGACTCTGCGTCCACCGCCGACCATGAATGGGCGTGGTGCAGATCTTATGGGAGGCGCAACACGTGTTTGCGCTTCAAGCGTCAGGATAATCGTCCCACGTCTTCTGGTTGTTATGGGGAGGTTCCCCTAGCCTACTTTGGGGGTTGTAGCGAAGGGCATACGCTCCTTTCCTCTGACTGCTCTGATGAGAGTCCACTGTTTGTTGGAACTTTGTGCACAGCCTACACTACGCTAGGGCCCCTCAAGCACCTTGGTCAATAGTGCCTCAGGAAGAAGGGAGCCACGAGGAGTAACAAGGACAGGTGGTCTGTCATTCTCAAAGGCGGTCGCCCGAAGGTCAAAGGAGTTTCGGTGGCGGCAGATATCCTTGATTTCGAGTGATCTTGATGGCAGGGCATGGTCCAGGTCCAAAAAATGCCGCCCCTGGTGAAGGGAGCCAGATGGGACCTGATTTCGCCGTCCTGGGTAAACTGGCGCGCTGCAACTGCGTGGTTGAGGAGCATTCGGCCGGCCTGTTTTTGTTACCGCAAGCACATGGTCGTCAAATTGTACGATTCCAGAGTGGACCCCAAACAGTATGAAGTGCAGTCTATGTGGATCAGGTTACGCGGTGCAGCTCTTTTGGTGCAATTTGCGTGGTGAAACCTACGGGTGCAACGTGTGTGGTGCAATGGATGTGGTAGTAAGTGCAGGTCGCACCTGGGACGGGCGATGGTTAATCGCAGCAGGCAAGGCAATTGGGACTTGGGACCAGCGACGGGACATTGCGACGAAACCGTGGGGGTGGCGACTGCGACTAGAAACATGCAAGGCAAGCGGGACCCATGACCTGAGACGATGAGTCGCAACAGGCAGTGCAAGCATCGCGACCCCAGGGTTGGCAAGTGCGAGTCGCAACAGGATGGGCAAGTGGGAGCTGGGACCAGCGACGAAGCATCGCAACTCCGTAGCCATTTTAGCTCAAGCAACTGGCTGCTCGAGAGCCGCCGTCGAAAGCCTCTAACGCAGCCCTCGCAAGCCACCCCCCGCCTGCGTGGTTGCTGCCGATGGCGGGCGAAGGTCTCCCCCAGATCTCGGGCGAGAAGACGTACAGCAACAAGAGTGGAGCTATCGGTTCGGTCGTCGGCCAGTTCTTCGGGCAGATGGGGGCATTCTTCGGCTGCTTCTTCGGCATCAAGGGCCCAGACGGCCAGTGGCCCCACGCCTGGTGGTCTTTCTGCTTCTTCGGCAACGCGACCGTGGGCGCACTGTCGCAGGCCCACACGACCACGGCGAAGATTGTCCGCTCGCCGGAGAAGATGACGCTGCTGAACTTGTGGGGCGGAACGGTGCTGACGATCCCGATATCCGAGATCTGCTCCATTAGGTGCAGGCGGTCATGCGGTTGCAACTGGTTCGTCGTGGAGACGACCGACAAGTTCTACGAGGAGCGTCGCGCATCTGCGGGGTGCTGCAAGTGTGTCGTGGGAAAGAACGTGTGGATCACATGCGCCGAGCAGGACGCCTTCAAGCAGGACCATGGCTTGACTGAGACGGGCGAAATTATCGGCAACCCCAAGGCCTGAGAGAAGGAGGAGGAGGACTGGGGGGGGGAGGTTGTGGTGGGGTGGAGATGGGAGTGGTGGAGGTGGAGGTGGAAGCTGGAATTGCGGCCTGCTGCGTGGAGCAACTCAACTCGGGGTCCTGGAGAAAAGGAGTTTCGACTGGTTCCGACTTAGCTCGGCCACGCAGGCCTGCCGCTCTGTACGGTGGCGGATTGCGGGGGCTGACAATGAGGATGGTGAGTGCCGCATCCCATGCTATCTTCCTCGAATGCCCGACGCGGAGCGCAGTAGTTTGCTTTGGCCAACCTGGGCGCAGGTGCTAGCCACTCTTGGCAGTGCCGCCCTGCCCGGCCAGATCACTGCTCAGTTGTTTCCCTGAACCAAGACTTGTAGTGCATGTATTCGTAACTGCCCGGCACGGCGCGCATTAGCTTGCCATGGGTAACCTGGGAACAGGTGCTAGCCACTCTTTGCAGTGCCGCCCTGTCCGGCCCGAGGACGCGCATCCAGTCCTGAGGAGGAGGAGGTGGAGGAGGAGGTGGAGGAGGACGAGAACAGCTGCGGGACGGAGCAGGAGGTGTGCGGAGTCTCTCCTTGAGTCTCCAGGGAGGACCCCTGGTTTCTGTATGTATTCCAGAGGAGGGCGGCACAGGACAAAGGCACGACAGCAGCCTGTGCGCCTGTGGCCGCAGGACTCACGATCCGCGAACCATGGCAGCGAACGCAACTTTTTATTCCAGCCGCAGCCCTCGAAGAGAGGAAATGCACTCTGCCGTGAGCCCGCAGCTTGCTGGAGAAGGGAGGGAATGGAGGAGGAGGAGGAGGAGGAGGAGGAGGAGGAGGAGGAGGAGGAGGAGGAGGAGGAGGAGGAGGAGGAGTGGACGAGTAGGGGGAGTAGGAGGAGGAGGACACCCGGCGGCTTCCAAGCAAGTCATACCCCCGCCGATTCGACGGTTTCGGGTGCCCGACGCGGCGCGCACGAGGTTGTCGTGGCAAGACACTTGGGGCCGTCACGGATCCTCGGGACGTGTGCTGCCAAGACATCTTCTCCTCACGGACGAATGACGTTGACAAGCACACGTTAGCGCTCACACACGTCCTGAGTGTCACCGAGCTCGGTCTTCCCCGCTGTGCCGCACCGCACGGCTTGCGCGCCATGTTCACGGGCGCCGACATCCCCCGTTCGGTTCACCTCACGCCGGTCGGCCCACCTCACGCCGGTCGGCCCAGGACGTGTTTTTTTCAGTGCGCGGCCACGTGATTTTGTCAGTGCGCGGCCCCACGGGTCCCAGTCCCAGACGTGTGACGTCTTGATTTCTTCAGAACAGAGCAGGACCTCTCGCATGTCTGGGTCGAAAGCTCAGCCGATTCGGGCCATAGCCTCTGGTTCGTCCAGGGATTTAGGCGAACCTGGCCCTGGCGACGACGACGGCGACAGAACGACTCCCGTCGTTGTCGACGCCATTTGCCCTTTTAGATAGTGCCAACCCCAGCCCTCGAGGCTCGGACGAGTCTTGGCGCTGGCTTGTATGTGCCGAACTGCGAGCCACCGCGCGGAGTTCCTCGGCGAAGAAAAAAAAAAGCGACGATGCATCGCAACAGCCAAGGCAAGCGGGAACCGTGACCTGCGACGGCGAATTGCAAGCGGGAGCCGACACCGGCGACCGCGAATCGTAACAGGCAGTGCAAGCGGGGATCGAGACCGCCGACGGCGCATCGCAACAGGCAGGGCAAGCGCCACCCCCGCACTGGCGACGGTGAATCGCATTAGCCAGTGCAAGCGGAACCCAGGACCAGCGATGGTGAATCGCAACAGGCAGAAAGAGTTCGTTTCTTTCAAGACATCTGAAATAGCCTTTGAGTGCAAGCGCTGCTTGGGTGAATTTTTGTCGACACGCGACATGGTCTGAGTAGCGTGATTGCTCTGGCACGCGGGATGTTCCCATATCTGTACCTACACTGCAGTCTGTTGTGCGAGAGCCTTTCCAAGTTTCTATCGCATTTTTCTCATGCACGGCTTTGGACCGCTTTGGCTTGGTTGCATATGTGCTTCAACCAGAGAAACGTGCAAATGGGCGATATCATTTGCGGTCAGCAGGAGATTCCGCTTGCACGCTTCTGTATCCACCGTCCATAACTGTCGTCAGAAAAGCGGTCGACACACAGTGGATGTGGTGGGCATCCGATGAAACTGAAAGTCCTTCAGGATCAGGTAGTTCGAATGATCTGCTGCTGGTCCTACTTCCGGTCGTACGTCTGCTCTCATTCTTGCGCCTGCTGCTGCTGCTCCGGCGCTCTCTACTCCTGCTCCTGCTCTTGCTGACGCTTCTCCGCCTCGGGGGTTCGCTTGGGATGTGTCGTGTGTCTGTGGGGGGGGTTCTGAAGGGTGCGCGGGTTGCTGTGTAGGGCTTGTTTAGGCATAGACGCGACGATGTTTTTGTTGCTGCTATTGTTGATGATGCTGACAACGATTATGACAACGATGGTGATGGTGGTTATGATGATGACGATGTTGATGAAGTTGATGATGATGACGATGATGATGATGATGATGATGATGATGATGATAATGATCCTAATGACGATGACAACGATAATGAAGATGATGATGGTTGTGATGGTGATGATGCTAATGCTGATGATGATGGTGATGATGATGATAATGCTGATGATGATGCTGATGCTGATGCTGATGGTGACGATGATAATCATGGTGGTGGTGATGGTGGCGATGTTGATGATGCTGATGCTGATGGTGGTGCCAGGGATGATGATGATGATGATGATGACGATGATGATGATGATGATTATGATGATGATGATGATGATGATGATGATGATGATGATGGCGACGACGACGACGGTGATGACGGTGATGATGATGATGATGATGATGATGATGATGATGATGATGATGATGATGGTGCTGGTTGTGGTGGTGATGCTGATGATGCTGATACTGATGACGATGCTGCTGATGATGATGACGAATATGATGATGCTGATGATGCTGATGCTTGTGATGATGATGATGATGATGATGATGATGATGATGATGATGATGATGATGATGATGATGATGATGATGATGATGATGATGACGATGATGATGATGATGATGATGATGATGATGATGGTGGTGGTGGTGGTGGTGGCGATGATTATGATGACGTGGTTGCTGATGACTACAGCGATATTGATGCTGTTCAGGTATGATGCTGATGACGATGGTGGTGGTGGTGATGATGCTGATGGGCATGATGCTCATGCTGATGCTGTAGATGAGGATGGGAATGACGCTGATGATGCTGATGATGTTGTTGTTAATGCTGATGATGACGCTGGTGCTGAGAATGATGATACTGATGATGTTGATGATGACGGTGCTGATGATGAGGATGATTGTGATGATGATGATGCTGCTGATGATAGTGCTCATGCTGATGCAGATGATGATGCTGAGGCTGATGCTGATGCTGATGCTGCCGTTGAGGATGCTGACGATGCCGATGATGCTGATGATGCTGATGATGCTGATGCGAATGCTGCTGATGTTGTTGATGACGATGGTGATGCTGGTGCGGCTGCTGATGATGATGATGCTGCTGATATTGTGGTTGATGATGATGACACGGACGGTGCCGATTGTGGTGGTGGTGTTGTTGATGATGGTGTGGTTGGGATGATGATGAGCAGGATGTGTGGGCGAGGAGGAGAGCGCGGGGGGGGGGGGGGGGATTTTTGGGCTACCGCCAGTGATTCTCCAGCCGTTAGCTTTGTAAGCGGGAGGTCGCGCTCACCTCCTGCTAGTCGCGCTGGGTATACGCCAGGACGCGAGCGTCAACTTCACGACGCACTGCATAGAGTTGTACGAAGAGGGTGCCCGTTGCTCCAACTCCGTCTCACCAGGAGGGGGCAGACGAGGACGAGGAGAAGGAGGAGGAGTAGGAGGAGGAGGAGGAGGAGAAGGAGGAGCAGGAGGAGGAGGAGGAGGAGGAGGAAGAGAAGGAGGAGGACCGTAGCCATTTTGGCTCAAGTCCGTAGCGATTCGGCTCAGGACCTGGCCTCACTGGCAAGGGGGGGGGCAGCGGCCCCCATAGTGCCCCCTGTTTGCCTGGCCAGGCGAGGTTTGCGTTTGGTGAACTCCTGGTGGAGCATTCCCCGTACTCAGTTCATGGGAACATGTTCAGGAAACAAAGACATGTCGCGTGCCCTCATTCTGGTTGTGGCTATCGCTGGAGTTGGCGCAAGCACGCGTCGTGCTGGTAATGGTGGGGTTCCCTCCGCCCAGTCGAATCTAGGGCTCAAGGCCCAGCAGGAGCTTGGGCCGAATGACCACCCCTGGCTCCCCGCACTCCCCGCCTCATGAGTTGCAAGCCTGGGACGCCAAAGCGGCATCATAACCAGAAAAGCCTACGCAACACGTTCGTTCATAACTACAGCGGGAGCAGGGACTCAAACAAGCAGGAGTGGCAGCGAGGAAGGCATCAGAAGCACTCGATCGAGAGGTCAAGTATGAGGAAGGGTGCCATCGCTACTTGCAGGAGGCTCACAAAGACTTGCAGGAGAGGGCTAAGTTGGCAACGGAAGCGGCACAACGTCATCAGCGGGTATTTCGTAAGCATATGGGCCCAAGCTTCCAGCCCGCTCCACGAGCCCCGATCAACCTCTCCAGCCTTCTCGCCGCAAAGGCGAATGATGAAACCACTCACTTGCTTTGTTTCGAGGATGATGGGATTGTCGATGCGTCAACGTGGGACTTTTCAAGTGAGGAGTGGGACCAGTGGCAAAAGCACAGAGATGCATTGGCAAAGGAGGTTTCAACGCTCATTGTGTCAGCAGTGGGCCCATCGGCGCAAGGTTAAGCGGAACGCACATCGAGGTTTTAGAAGTACAATGTCAGGATGGCGCACAAACGTCGTCGCACAGGAGAAGGAGCAGGACAGGCACGAGCAGATGGTGAACCCGAAGCGGTGGTTGCGGCGGCTGCAAGCGTTGCTGAAGCTGGAGGGACGCGGCATTCTCAGGAGATGCGGCAGGCTCGACGGCGGCGGCAGGTAAGGCGACAGCGGCAGCATCATCGGGATCAGCACCACCTTCGGCTTCGGCGGCTCCAGCACCTATCCAAGTCACCGAGGAGGCCATCAAGGCTCCCTTGGACGTGTCCACGGCGAAGCACACGTCTCTCTAGCCGAGCTGTTGGCCACTGCCTTACGGCCGCGACATGGGTGATCGCCAATGCCTCTGAGAAGGTGGAGACTCCGGGGACCCTTCGAGGACCTGGTCTCGGGCCCTGGGAATCGGCTGGAGGGGAGCTGTCATCCGCGACGACGGGGAGGAGGGAGGAGGGAGGAGGGAGGAGGGAGGAGGGAGGAGGGAGGAGGGAAGAGGAGGGAGGAGGGAGGGAGAGAGGAGGGGGGAGGGGAGGAGGGAGGGGGAGGGAGGGGAGAGGAGGAGGAGGAGAGGAGGAGGAGAGAGGAGGAGGAGGACGAGGAGGAGCAGGAGGAGGAGGAGGCGGAGGAGGAGGAGAAGGAGGACAAATAATACATACTAGTAACACTAAGAATGATAATATTACGAATCATAAGAATGCGAATTCACTACTAAAAATAAAAAGAATACGCAGACCCACACTAATACGAAGACCAATATGATGAAGACTAATACGAAGACGCTTGATCAAAACATTTATTGATACTGTTACGAATGATAATGAGGAGGAGGAGGAGGAGGAGGAGGAGGAGGAGGAGAGGAGGGAGGAGGAGGAGGAGGAGCAGGAGGAGGAGGAGGAGGAGGGGAGGAGGGGGAGGAGGGGGAGGAGGGGGGAGGGGGAGGAGGAGAGGAGGGAGAGGAGGAGGAGAGGGGAGGAGGAGGAGGAGAGGCGGAGGCGAGGCGAGGCGGAGGCGGGAGGAGGAGGAGGAGGAGGAGGAGGAGGAGGAGGAGGAGGAGGAGGAGGAGGAGGAGGAGGAAGGAGGAGGAGGAGGAGGCGGAGGAGGAGGCGGAGGGGAAGGAGGAGGGGCAGGAGGTGGGCGAGGAGGAGGAGGAGGAACATGTGGAGGCCGCTTTCGGCTTCGTCCCAGCTCGGAGTGGTGCCTTGGCTTTGAGTCGCGCTTCAGCCTCGGCGGTGGCCACGCTCTTGAACTGGAGTGCCGTTCTTCTCCAGGAGTGCGGCGCGATAGCGCGCACGAGAACCGAGCGAGAGAGAAGAGCAACTCGGCAGCTCTGTTGTTCCAGAGTGGCGTTTCGGCTCCAGCGCCGGCAGTGCCCCCGAGCTTGGGCTGCCGCCCTCGCCTCTGCGCTGGCCCACGTCCCTAGGCTTGGCGGCGGCGCTCTCGCCTCGACATTTCTCGCGCTGGTCCTCCCGCTTCCCGCCCCCGCCCGCTCTTCCCGCCTCGCCTCTTCCCCCAATGCCAAGTCCTGGCCTGGACTTGGTCGCGAGTCCAGTGCCCCGCGGTGGCTGTGGCCGGCCATCACGACCTGCTTGCAAATCCCGCACGGCGCAGCACACCTTCGAAGCATCCTCTTGCTTCAGACCAGCTCGCGCCAGCAGGCGGCCAATCCAGTCCGGGGCTCCGCGCGGGAGGCGCCGACGGCCCCTGTCTCCGGCGAGGCTCCCGGAGGGATGCCTGCAGTGCCCGCCCCCGGGCTGTTCGCCCGCCTCGTCGCCCCCGACGTTCCCCAGGGGGGGGCGGCCTTCCGAGCCCCGAGCCGTGCTCTGACGGCCCGGCGCCCCGGCGCCCCGCGCGGGCCTCCCGAGGCCAGGCCCGCCCCCCCCCGCGCTCCCGCGCTCGC